AGGATAATCTCGCAAGGGCTCCTCTTTACTTGTTGTACTGTACCTACTACAATAGTAGTAGTACGTAGTACGTCCCAAGGCTTAAACTACCTCTGTCATAAACCTGTCAGGATTCATTCAGCCTTAACAAGAGTTCTCGCTGTGGAGAGCAAGTACGTAGTACTACTGTTGCTACGACTACGACTACGATTACTACGTAGGACTATTTTCTATGCGCAATCAAATCAACAAACGGGTCTTTGAGCCACTCTTCCAGGTAGCAAATCACCGCTTCACGATCTGCCTGTATCGCTGAGTTCGATCGGCACATACCACTATCTCCATGACGAAGATCCGTTAGTTTTTTTTGTTTTTTTTTTTCTTTTTTCTTTCATCGAGGGTTTGACATGAAACGACCTTTGACATCCTAAATACGTAGGACTACTATCCCTTTTTCTAACGGTACTACTAGTAGTACTACTAGTAGTACTACTACTAGTAGTAGTAGTACTACGTAAATCATATCCTGGAAAGTATAATCAGCTTTTATGCTCTGCCCCTCCCCCTCCCCCTGAATACTACGCACTCGTCGAAAGGATAATCTCGCAAGGGTAGAATCTTACCAGGTCTTAGTACGTACTACGTACGTAGTAGTAGAATCCGACCAACTTACTATATACTCTGTAAGGATTCAGTCAGCCTTGAAAAGGTAGTGCCACTACTACCACGTCCTATACTACTACGTACGTAGCAGAAAACCATCACTCTACGATTTACTACTACGTAGTACTACTAGTAGTTAGGTACTCCGGTATCAGGCTACCGGTACGTACTTACTACGTATCCCCCTCCCCCTCCCCCTTCCAAAATATCTAGTAGTATCAAGGAAAGGATAACTTTTGCAAACAGCTCTCTCTCTTACTACGTACGTACTACTACTTACTGTAAAGCTCCAACGAATCGACTTACCGTACAAGGATTCGGCCTTGAAAAATACTACTACGACTACTACGACTACTAGCTTTAGGCAAGTACTACGTCCTACTTCCTACTTCCTACTTCCTACTACACTGACTACCCTCTAGCCCACGCGACAAAGCCAACAAGGCTCTACCGCATCTACGCCATGCACAAACGGCCGCTCTACGAATTTACTGCACCTTCCAGTAAGATCCCCCTCCAAACACTCTCTCATCTCGTCTCATCTTATACTACTACCACTACTACTACCACTACTACTACTACTACTACTACTACTACTACTTTCCCAACCAAGGTATAGCTATTATCGGGGGGGGCGTTCGGGGAGGAGAAACACTCCTACCTCCTCCTCCTCCCTATCTCCTCCTCCCTAGTACGTACTGCGCACCA